GATGACGATTATGATGAGGGTAATGAAGACAATAGCGATGACGATTATGATGACAGTAATGAAGACAATGGCAATGATGACGATTATGATGACGGTAATGAAGACAATGGCAATGATGACGATTGTGATCACGGTAATTAAGACAATGGCAATGATGACGATTATAATGATGGTAATGAAGACAATTGCCATGATGACGATTATGATGACGGTAATGAAGACAATGGCAATGATGACGATTATGATAACGGTAATGAAGACAATGGCGATGACGATTATGATGAGGGTAATGAAGACAATGGCAATGATGACGATTATGATGACGGTAATGAAGACAATGGCGATGACGATTATGATAATGGTAATGAAGACAATGGCGATGACGATTATGACGGGGGTAATGAAGACAATGGCAATGATGACGATTATGATGACGGTAATGAAGACAATGGCGATGACGATTATGATAACGGTAATGAAGACAATGGCGATGACGATTATGATGACGGTAATGAAGACAATGGCAATGATGACGATTATGACGAGGGTAATGAAGACAATGGCAATGATGACGATTATGATGACGGCAATGAAGACAATGGCGATGACGATTATGATAACGGTAATGAAGACAATGGCGATGACGATTATGATGACGGTAATGAAGACAATGGCGATGACGATTTTCATGTCGGTAATGAAGACAATGGCAATGATGACGATTATGATGACGGCAATGAAGACAATGGCGATGACGATTATGATGACGGTAATGAAGACAATGGCGATGACAATTTTCATGACGGTAATGAAGACAATGGCAATGATGACGATTATGATGACGGTAATGAAGACAATGGTGATGACAATTATGATGACGGTAATGAAGACAATGGCGATGACGATTATGATGACGGTAATGAAGACAATAGCGATGATGATTATGATGAGGGTAATGAAGACAATAGCGATGACGATTATGATGAAGGTAATAAAGACAATGGCGATGACGATTATGATGACGTTAATGAAGACAATAGCGATGACGATTATGATGAGGGTAATGAAGACAATAGCGATGACGATTATGATGACAGTAATGAAGACAATGGCAATGATGACGATTATGATGACGGTAATGAAGACAATGGCAATGATGACGATTGTGATCACGGTAATTAAGACAATGGCAATGATGACGATTATAATGATGGTAATGAAGACAATTGCCATGATGACGATTATGATGACGGTAATGAAGACAATGGCAATGATGACGATTATGATAACGGTAATGAAGACAATGGCGATGACGATTATGATGAGGGTAATGAAGACAATGGCAATGATGACGATTATGATGACGGTAATGAAGACAATGGCGATGACGATTATGATAATGGTAATGAAGACAATGGCGATGACGATTATGACGGGGGTAATGAAGACAATGGCAATGATGACGATTATGATGACGGTAATGAAGACAATGGCGATGACGATTATGATGACGGTAATGAAGACAATGGCAATGATGACGATTATGATGACGGCAATGAAGACAATGGCAATGATGACGATTATGATGACGGTAATGAAGACAATGGCGATGACGATTATGATGACGGTAATGAAGACAATGGCGATGACGATTATGATGATGGTAATGAAGACAATAGCGATGACGATTATGATGAAGGTAATAAAGACAATGGCGATGACGATCATGATGACGGTAATGAAGACAATAGCGATGACGATTATGATGACAGTAATGAAGACCATGGCGATGACGATTATGATGATGGTAATGAAGACAATGGCAATGATGACGATTATGATGACGGTAATGAAGACAATGGCAATGATGACGATTATGATGACGGTAATGAAGACAATGGCAATGATGACGATTATGATGACGGCAATGAAGACAATGGCAATGATGACGATTATGATGACGGTAATGAAGACAATGGCGATGACGATTATGATGACGGTAATGAAGACAATGGCGATGACGATTATGATGACGGTAATGAAGACAATAGCGATGACGATTATGATGAGGGTAATGAAGACAATAGCGATGACGATTATGATGAAGGTAATAAAGACAATGGCGATGACGATTATGATGACGGTAATGAAGACAATGGCGATGACGATTATGATGACTGTAATGAAGACAATAGCGATGACGATTATGATGAGGGTAATGAAGACAATAGCGATGACGATTATGATGACAGTAATGAAGACAATGCCGATGACGATTATGATGACGATAATGAAGACAATGGCAATGATGACGATTATGATGACGGTAATGAAGACAATGGCAATGATGACGATTATGATGACGGTAATGAAGACAATGGCAATGATGACGATTATGATGACGGTAATGAAGACAATGGCAATGATGACGATTATGATGACGGCAATGAAGACAATGGCAATGATGACGATTATGATGACGGTAATGAAGACAATGGCGATGACAATTATGATAACGGTAATGAAGACATGGCGATGACGATTATGATGAGGGTAATGAAGACAATGGCAATGATGATGATTATGATGACGGTAATGAAGACAATGGCGATGACGATTATGATAACGGTAATGAAGACAATGGCGATGACGATTATGATGACGGTCATGAAGACAATGGCGATGACGTTCATGATGACGGTAATGAAGACAATGGCGATGATAACAATAATGATGAGGGTAATGAAGACAATGGCAATGATGACGATTATGATGACAGTAATGAAGACAATGGCAATGATGACGATTATGATGACGGTAATGAAGACAATGGCAATGATGACGATTATGATGACGGCAATGAAAACAATGCCAATGATGACGATTATGATGATGGTAATGAAGACAATGGCGATGACGATTATGATGACTGTAATGAAGACAATTGCGATGACGATTATGATGACGGTAATGAAGACAATGGCGATGACGATTATGATGACGGTAATGAAGACAATGGCGATGACGATTATGATGACGGTAATGAAGACAATGGCGATGACGATTATGATAACGGTAATGAAGACAATGGCAATGATGACGATTATGATGACGGTAATGAAGACAATGGCGATGACGATTATGATGACGGTAATGAAGACAATGGCGATGACGATTATGATGAGGGTAATGAAGACAATGGCAATGATGACGATTATGATGACGGTAATGAAGACAATGGCGATGACGATTATGATAACGGTAATGAAGACAATGGCGATGACGATTATGACGAGGGTAATGAAGACAATGGCAATGATGACGATTATGATGACGGTAATGAAGACAATGGCGATGACGATTATGATAACGGTAATGAAGACAATGGCGATGACGATTATTATGACGGTAATGAAGACAATGGCGATGACGATTTTCATGACGGTAATGAAGACAATGGCAATGATGACCATTATGATGACGGCAATGAAGACAATGGCGATGACGATTATGATGATGGTAATGAAGACAATAGCGATGACGATTATGATGAGGGTAATGAAGACAATAGCGATGACGATTATGATGAAGGTAATAAAGACAATGGCGATGACGATTATGATGACGGTAATGAAGACAATAGCGATGACGATTATGATGAGGGTAATGAAGACAATAGCGATGACGATCATGATGACAGTAATGAAGACAATGGCGATGACGATTATGATGACGGTAATGAAGACAATGGCAATGATGACGATTATGATGACGGTAATGAAGACAATGGCAATGATGACGATTATGATGACGGTAATGAAGACAATGGCAATGATGACGATTATGATGACGGCAATGAAGACAATGGCAATGATGACGATTATGATGACGGTAATGAAGACAATGGCGATGACGATTATGATGACGGTAATGAAGACAATGGCGATGACGATTATGATGACGGTAATGAAGACAATATCGATGACGATTATGATGAGGGTAATGAAGACAATAGCGATGACGATTACGATGAAGGTAATAAAGACAATGGCGATGACGATTATGATGACGGTAATGAAGACAATAGCGATGACGATTATGATGAGGGTAATGAAGACAATAGCGATGACGATTATGATGACAGTAATGAAGACAATGGCGATGACGATTATGATGACGGTAATGAAGACAATGGCAATGATGACGATTATGATGACGGTAATGAAGACAATGGCAATGATGACGATTATGATGACGGTTATGAAGACAAAGGCAATGATGACGATTATGATGACGGTAATGAAGGCAATGGCGATGATAACAATAATGATGAGGGTAATGAAGACAATGGCAATGATGACGATTATGATGACGGTAATGAAGACAATGGCAATGATGACGATTATGATCATGGTAATGAAGACAATGGCGATGACAATTATGATGACGGTAATGAAGACAATGGCGATGACGATTATGATGACGGTAATGAAGACAATGGCAATGATGACGATTATGATGACGGTAATGAAGACAATGGCGATGACGATTATGATGACGGTAATGAAGACAATGGCGATGACGATTATGATAACGGTAATGAAGACAATGGCAATGACGATTATGATGACGGTAATGAAGACAATGGCGATAACAATTATGATGACGGTAATGAAGACAATGGCGATGACGATTAGGATGACGGTAATGAAGACAATGGCGATGACGATTATGATGACGGTAATAAAGACAATGGCGATGACGATTATGATGACGGTAATGAAGACAATGGCGATAACAATTATGATGACTGTAATGAAGACAATGGCAATGACGATTATGATGACGGTAATGAAGACAATGGCGATAACAATTATGATGACTGTAATGAAGACAATGGCAATGACGATTATGATGACGGTAATGAAGACAATGGCGATAACAATTATGATGACGGTAATGAGACAATGGCGATGATGACGACTGCAGGAGGACGTCACCGGAGCACTTGACTTGGCACGCGTTGTGCCCCTTGCTGCCGTTGTCGCACCACCAGTTGCTGTTGATCTGGAAGATGCCGTAGTCAGTGGAGCCGTTGTAGTTGTGGTACGTGGCCCTCGTGTTGTAGCTGCTCTCGGCCTGAACCAAACACACCCCTGGGCACCAAACACAAACATCACCCCCCGCCACGCATAGCCTTTAGCGATCAGCAGCGCCTGCGAAGGCCGGCACCGTGACACACGAGGGGGTGGGTGGCCTGCACCACCCCCGGCCGCCTTTGTCTCCGCAGTGGCGATGTTTACACACCACGCCAGGTACTCATTTGAAGTTGAGTTTACCTAGGGGAGGCCCAGGACCAGTTCAGATAACCACCGGTGGTGTTGGCCGCGAGCGGGAATCGAACTCGGGTCGCCGGATTCGTAGCGCAGCGTAGTGTTAATCGTCGCACCATCGCTCACCACCATCGCTCACCACCACCGCTCACCACCACCAGCGAGTGAACCACAACATCCTCCCCAGGAGTGAGCTAACAGCGGGTGGGAGAAACCCGCTGTCCTGTGTGAGAGTATCTCTCTAACTCACCGTGGTGAGCGAGTGGGTGGGTGGGTGAGCGAGTGAGTGGGTGAGTGGCTGGGTGACGCCTGTATATGTGGATTCATATTCTTAGGTTTTTTCGGTAAAGTCACGTAGGTAAAACATTAAAATTAACAAAAGTAAAATAAAATAAAAATCACGACGTTTCGGAGGCAACACAAGCTTCCGTCTTCAGGTGGAACCGTCACAGCCACGACAGCTGTATCAAGTAAATGAGAGATTGCAGGAGCTACCACTCCGTTTATATAATGGTTGGAGAGGGGGGGGGGGGGTAAAGGGCCAAGTAAAGCACACTTTTTATTCATATGGTAAGGTGAGGCTTAAGAGGGTGAGCCTTTGTTATGGAGAGGTACGGTTTGTGACTCAACCTGTGACAAGGAGACAACCACTAAACATGGTAAACCTGTAATAGTCTGTCAAATAAGATTGGCCAACTAAGTGTAGTTACATCTTTTTTGCATGGTTAATCACATCTTTCCAATGATTACTCAGTTTGTAACCATCATCACGGTTGAAATTATGTCTGTGTTTGTATATTTGTATGGCTTCGTGTACAAACCTTTGATGGTAGCCATGAGGTTTGCAGAGAACCTTGGTCTCGGAAAAGACAATTTCATGAGAGCCCACCGAGTTGTAGCAATGATCGGCAACGGCCGACGAATCAGTTCTGCCGTGTTTCAAATCTGACTTGTGCTCGCGGACACGATCAGAGAGGAGGCCTGACGGATCCTTGGGACATTCTGTCTACCTACGTGACTTTACCAAAAGAACCAAAGAGTATGGATTCCTGCAGTCACGAAAGCTTCAAATCAAGATAGTTTAGTTTATAAATTGAACCGTGAATAGTTCGACGAATAGTGGCTACTCAGAAAGACAAAGCCCTTCAATGATCACAACGTATTTGCTGCTAAATAATCAAACACATTTGCATTGAAAAGGCAAATTATTAAATGGTGCTGGCACACTGCATTGTCGACTATTCAATTACCATCGCAGTCGATAACCATCCCAATTAGTTACCACCCCAATCAATGACCAACGCAATAAATTATCACCCCGATCAATGACCATCTCAATCAATTAACATCTCGTTAAGTCACCATCTGGATGATTTACCGTCCCACACATTACCATCTCAACCAAACGAATGCAACTGCCCGACGTGACGTGCAAAAGTGAGGCCGAAAACAAAGAGACCACTGCTGGCGGATTGAACAAAAAAAAAACCTGGGATTTTGATGGCCACCGTCAGAACAGCAACAACAACAACCCCAGATCCTCGATCAACGCCCGTCTCTGGCTCGGAATGTTGGTAGTGGAGGTGTGTGGGTGAAGCTCTCACAGTCGCCCAGGCTGGCTGTCTCCACTCCCATGTCGCGCAGGGCCTTCGCGAGCTCGCATCGTGCGAACACTTTGGCACGCGTGCAGGGGACGACGCAGAGAGACGCCGCCAGCACGCACATCGCGAACGAGCGAAACGACATCGCGAGAGATTCTTTTTGTTTTCTCCACCACGGCCGCTCCCCGCTCTCGTTCTGCCTCTCGCTGTTCAGCCTGCACCCGGCTTTCATAGCCTCCCACCACCACCGCTCACACCCCCGGAACTGCTCGCCGACAAGTCGTGGTTTGCATGTGGGCGTGGGGGACGAGCGGTGGTGCAGTGGTTAGCGCTGCACTACGCTACGAACCCTGGCGACCCCGAGTTCAGGTTTCTAGCTCACGGCCACCAACCCAGTGACGATTATCTCAAATCGGCCCCGTGGCCTCCCTCTAGGACGACTCAATCTGAAACGAGTACCTGGTGCGATGCGTAAAACATCGCCACTGGGGAGACAAAGGCGGGCGAGCGCGGTGGTGGCCACCCACCCCTTCGGCTGCCATGTCGTCGCCCATAGTTGGTCGTTAACAGCACTTGCCCCAAAATTCTGTTGACGTAATACACTGTAAAAACCGAGACTGGGGTTAATTAATGTTTAGTAAATATATAAGAGTAACCTATACATAAACATAATGACTATGTGTAGTTTAGAATCACATCGAGCTGAATTCAACACATTTGTATTAGTTATTAATTGTATTTTACTCAGTTTTGTTCGAATAAAATCAGCCATCAATAACTAAGTGGAATTTAATTGTATTTTATCAGGAAAGTCAAAAATGCAAAAAATTGATTAATTTTACTAATCGGGAGGTTTTTGAATTTAATAACGTTACACTCCCGCCCAAACTCGAGGCATTTTTTCGCGCCACGTGCATGTCAACCATCTTCTTCCACAGACACGGTTCAGGGACCGCCGTTCTCCTAAAGGTAAGACATGTTTAATTATTTTAGCGAACAATTTTTTAACAAAGGTGTGGTAGCAGTTGAACATTGTTTTATGTTACTGCATGTTACCAGCATGCCAATTTAACTGGCTGTAACGTATATCAGAATTAACTAGCACAACGTTAGGCCTTTGGAAGTCAGTCTGATTCGACTAAAAGCACGAGACTATAATTTTTGTTCCGCACACGAAAAAGTAACGTGCGTGATTAAAACTAGACTATATTCATTCGGATCACAGCGCGTACCGAACCAAAAGTCCTGTACCTGCCGTTACACCTCCAGTATATTATATCTTGCTGTTGATGTACGTACAGTATGCTAACGTTAGCTAGCTTTCCACCAGTCAGTTAGCGTCACCTTTACGTTGTGGCTAGCTTGTTGTGTAGTTGCTAGCTAGCTAGATGATGTGAGTGACAAAAAGTTGATGTGCTAAATTTGAGCATGAAAATTTGAATATTAAAAATAATAAAGAATTATCTTGTAAATGTGATTCTATTGTCCTCATGTGATTAGAGACCTTGTGGCCTTGCATCTATATATATAAAATCGTTCATGTCTGTGTGTCTGTGTGTGTGTGTGTGGACTGCACTTTCATTGGACGGCGGTTGCCCCTGGCAACGGCTAGCCACGCCTTCGCCGCTTTCATTGGACGGCGGTTGCCCCTGGCAACGAGTAGCAACTTTTCTCCGCGGGGTGGACGCCATTTTTAATAGCGCGGGGGGGGGGGGGGGGGGGGACCGGCACCCGTACCCAGCGTTCGCCGGGTGGGAAAATCAGGCAAGGCGGGAGGCTCTGCACGGTGCTAGGCCTCGACACCCAACACGCCACTCTGAGGTAAATTCATACAAATTTCACGTCCTCTACAGAGTGGCGAGGGAGGCAGAGTGGCGAGGGAGGCAGAGTGGCGAGGGAGGGACTCAGCCTCAAAACGAGTAACTGGTGTGGCGTATTAACATCGCCACTGGGGAGACAAAGGCGGCCGGGCGTGCTGGATACAAGTCCCGGGCAAAGCCGGGTCATGACTATGTGTGTATGTGTTTATGTGTATGTCTGTGTGTCTGTATGTATGTGTGTATGTATGTGTCTGTATGTGTTTGTGTGTATGTATGTGTGTCTGTATGTATGTGTGTGTGTATTGTGTATGTGTTTGTGTGTATGTATGTGTGTGTTTGTATGTATGTGTATGTTTGTGTGTATGCATGTGTGTGTATGTTTTTGTGTGTATGTGCGGTTATGTATGTGTGTGTATGTGTGTGTCTGCAGCAAGCGCGTGTATGTGTACCTATGGACGCGCGCGCGTGTGTTGTGTAGGGGGAACGGTAGTGTAGTGCTTAGCGTACTGCCTGTGTCTATGTGTGTGTGTGTGTGTCTGTGTGTGTGTCTGTGTGTGTGTGTCTGTGTGTGTGTGTCTGTGTGTGTGTGTCTGTGTGTGTGTGTCTGTGTGTGTGTGTCTGTGTGTGTGCGTGCGTGGTGTGTAGGAGGAACGGTAGTGTAGTGCTTAGCGTGCTGCCTGTGTGTGTCTGTGTGTGTGTGTGTCTGTGTGTGTGTGTCTGTGTGTGTGTGTCTGTGTGTGTGTCTGTGTGTGTGTCTGTGTGTGTGCGTGTGTGGTGTGTGGGGAGCGGTAGTGTAGTGGTTAGCGTGCTGTCTGTGTGTCTGTGTGTGTGTGTCTGTCTGTGTGTGTGTTCTGTGTGTGTGTCTGCGTGTGTGGTGTGTGGGGAGCGGTAGTGTAGTGGTTAGCGTGCTGTCTTTGTGTCTGTCTGTGTCTGTCTGTGTGTTTCTGCGTGTGTCTGTGTGTGTGTGCGTCTGTGTGTGTGAGGAGCGGTGGGTGTAGTGGTTAACGCTACGCTGCGCTACCAACCCGGCGAACCGAGTTAGATTCCCGCTCATGGCCACCACCGATCAAGATTATTTGAACCTCACATAGGTCGACTCAGCCTCAAACGAGTAACTGGTGTGGCGTATTAACATCGCCACTGGGGAGACAAAGGCGGCCGGCCGTGGTGGATACAAGTCCCGGGCGAAGCCGGGTAGTACAGCTAGTCTGATACATAGACCTTTTTCTGCCTCAGGTTTTTGCTTATGGAATGGAAGTGTAAGATCTGCAAGTCTTTGTCTGCCACAAAGGGATATCTACTAAAGCATTACAGACAACACGCAACATTTGGTCGTGGGCAATCCCAGCCATGCCTATATGACAGTTGCCCTTGCACATTTAAAACGCAGAGTGCCCTTCGC